TGAAATGTCTCTGCTGTCTCCCCCCTCTGAGCCTCCAGATGCTGGTCCCAGCTCAACATCTGGGACTCAGACAGCCGCCAGCAGCCCTGAACATCCAGCTCACCCTGAATGAGACCTCCAGGTCTGAGAACATGGAGGCAGTCCAATCGAGGAGGGAAGAGCCAAGGAGGGAGGACCTGCAGGTCGGGGAAATCCTGGTCTGGTTCTGGGTCTCGTTGGTTCAGTTTTGGGGATCGTTGCTGTTATTGCTGCTGTCTTGTTTCGCAAAACTCCTCCTCCTCCTCCTGAAGGAGCTCCTGTTCAGCCTCTGGTGTGACTCAAAGCAGCAGCAGGAACATCCAGATCTCTGTGGGATCTTTGTCTCATTCAGAGGAAAAAACATGTGTTCCCTCCCGAAGAGATGCCTCCTTGTCGTGGTGGGGGGGGGTTGTGAGATTCTGGGAGCTGGTTGGATCCATCAGATCAAACTGGTCCCAGAAGAAGAGTCAGAGTAAGAGCAGTTCAGACATCTTTAAACCCCCTGAGACTCAGCAGAGCACAACCAGGACATCAGTTCTGGTTCTGGTTCAGGGATGTTCTGGTCCTGGTCCTGGTTCTGCTATAGTTCTGGTTCTTGGGTAAATCTGGACTCTGGTCCCTCAAATAACCAACTGCTGGGTTTCAGGAGGTTTGCACATGTTCTGCTGCAGAGAGGAGCAAAACCTGTTCTCTGCTGCCCCCTGCAGGTGACCTCCTGACCCTGCTGTGTACGGCTGGTCCTGTTAAACATCACAGTCCAGCCCTGAATCCTCACATCAACGTCGTCCTTTATTGTGTACGAGATAATAAAAGCAACTTTTCCTCTGATTCACCTTGTCCAGCGGTGGTTTGCACCAGGCTCCGTCCTCGGCCCTCATGGTCAACACCGACCTTCTTCCTCAGGGCAACATTTTAAGGAAATGTTTTATCCATGTCCTCCCTTTTCCCAATAATGAATATTTATAAGGTATTCAAACCCATGCTGCTGACAGTGACCTTCCCAACATGTCGCCATCTTCTCAAACTGGCCTGTTCCTCATGACTTTGACATCCTAATAGGCTCAAAAGTCCCATTTTCTGTATTTGGTCTCATTTGAACATTTGGGTATTTTTCTGTTTGTTTCTGGCTGTTTGTAATTTTGTTACAATCAGAAATGGAGATTTTAATCTAACTTCTCTTTGGGGACTTTAAGCACCTTAATTCCTGCTTTTAATAAATGTATTGTTATTTACTAATATTATGAATTACTAATAACTAACTAATAACAGGTTTTACACTTTATTAGTAATTTGAGATAGTAAAGAACAAACTAGAAAATTTCTGAAGAAATTTTGAGGGGGGCCACCTACTGCCCGTCCAGGAACCCAGGGCTGGCTTCCTTGGGCCCTCAAAAGTTGGACACTGAATATTTGGGCTCTCTGTAATGAGAGGGCCTGAGGGAGAGACGCAGTGATGGAGGGACCCGGCTAAGCTCTGGGGCCCGCTGACCAAATTCAATCGGTTTGAGCAGGTAGGGTGTCACATTGGCTGAAAGCTGAGAAAAAGACCTACGCAACGAGGTTTGACATGACTGGGTCCGGTCCCGGTCCGGTTTTGACCCGGTTGGGTCCGATCCCCAGAACCAGAACCAGAACCGGGCTCTGACTAAAGCCCTCTAAGCGGGCTTTGCCCGCCTGGAACCAGAACCACTGTATCATCAGCTCAACAGATCAGCAGAGACCCACCGCAGCGCGGTGGGTCTCTGTTGGTCGCCACGGCGACAGCATTCAGGCCAAAGTCTCAGCTCCCACACCTGTGACTCATCAGTAAGCCGTAGCTGTGACACAGACAACTGAGAGATGGATCAAAAGTTGCCTCCGAACTCCTGCCCGCTGTTCAAAAACTAAAAGAGCGAATTCTTAAATTCTTCGACCGTGAGCGGCACAAGACTTTCACGTCTCAGTCAGTCTATTTTTTTTTCGGCTGCTCCCAGCGGTTATTTTTTTATGGCAATTTCAAAATGAGGGCCGTTTTGTCTCTGGTGAAAAAAATTTCTCCTTTCTTCCATTCAAATCCTATTGGAGAGGCTCGGGAAAGGCTGGACTCTGGGCCTGATTGCCGGAAAACCGTAAGGCCGAAGTCCAAAGCGGGCACATCGGCCGAAAGAGGACACCCACGGCTACGTTTTGAGGCCATTTTGGCGCTCGGCCCCACGGTTTGGTCACCAGAGGCCGGAGTTTGACTTTTTTTCGGTGAACGTCCCCAAAAGGCTCTCAGAGGCATGCAGTGCCCCCCCTAATAAGTATTTTGGATAGTAATAGGGGGGCCTGCCGATGGCAGTGGCCCCCCTAAATCTGAGCATTATTGGGTCATCAGACGGAGATGCGGCCGATGAAGACGTTCTGCACTGTGGGGAAGTCTGAATGTAACCAGTGTTTTTCCATTACGCTCTGTAGGGCGGTTCCTATTCTGATGGTGGTTATCACTCTGCATACGAATGAGGGGGCGGGTCCCTTATTATAGACTCAGTATTAGGCAGAAACTGGTCAGTGTCTGAAAGTCAAAGTGGAAAACTGGTTGATAACAGCATCTGATTTCATCCAAAGCCTCATATGGTTAACCTTTATCTATTTGTTTAAATTATATGAGTGTATCTGTGCATCTGTGACTGAAAGCCACAGACCACCAGAAACGCTTTGTTTACAGCCGAGGCCTCATAAGTTCTCCTGATTTTGTTTCAAATTCAAACTGTCCTCTGCTACTAAATAACTTTTGGTATCTAAAAGAGCTTTTTAAAACTGCATTGTAAAATGATTGGACTTTGTTGACATTTCCTTATTGTTTAATTGCTTTTATCTTTAAATAACTTTCGACCTGTGAAGAGCAGAAAAACCACACAGATTCACACAGGAAGGGGGCGGGCTGCATCTGGGGCAAAAAGCTCAGACTTGCCCAGAGACTGACAGACGCAAAGATGGAGGCTAGTGCTCAGTACCTGCTCCGTAAGTAGAGACGCTTTTCTCTGTTTTCTCTGTTTTCTCTGTTTCTGCTCTGTGGACGACTTCTGATGGGGGGGCACACTGAAACAGGTCAGGCTGAAGTCAGGTGTAAAATACAGCATGATGAGCTGCTTCAGGAGGAGCTTTAGGGGCTTTAACCAGGAAGCCGGCACAGAGAAAGGCCACAAACAGCCAGAGAAACAGGCTGAAAGGCTCCAGATGTGAGCAGCCTGCTCAGAAGACACAGTGAGAGCCTTTTGCTTTGTCCAGACTAAAGCAGAAGCCGTCTGCAGACAGCTAGTCCTGTCTGTCCGGACTCAGACGCTCCCATGTGTCTGCTTCCTGACTGTTACAGAGGGAAGGAAGGCTCTGCTCTGGGACTTTCCATCAGGGCTCTCAGAGCAGATCTTTGGGTTCCTGCTCTGTTCTTCTGAGCTCTGCTTTCCTCAGCTTGTTGCTTTATGCTGTTGAGTTCTCCAGTCCAGCTCAAACCCACCTGAGTGTGTTTCCTCTCCAGTTGTGACCTCACTGCTGAGCGGCTCCACACACCAAGGTTGGTCCCCTTTTCCCAGCATGAGGAGCTTTAGCTGGACAGATGTTATCCAGCAGCACCAGGGCTGGAAGAAGGAACAGCTGGCTGAAACTGACTCCTGTTTCCTCCCTCTCAGCGGCTCTGACTGTGAGTCCCAGCAGCTCTCAGTTCTTCAGAGAAGACTCTGTGTCTCTGAGCTGTGAGGAGGACGGCAGCTCTGCTGGATGGACTGTGAGGAGGAACACCAGCAGAGGAACCAGGACCCAGTGTGGGGCAGACTGGGGGGAACTGACCGGTTCTGTCTGTAAGATCCGCTATCTTTACCCCTTTGACAGCGGTGCTTACTGGTGTGAGTCGGGCGGGGGGGCGGCCGGTCCCAGCACCCCCCTCACTGTCTCTGGTAAGATCAGACTGTGGAGTTAGTGCTGATGAAGCTGTGTGGAAATGGATGAAGTGCTGTAGTCTGTCTCTGTGTTGAGGTGGACCAGTGATCCTGCAGAGTCCTGTCCTCCCTGTGATGGAGGGGGGGGCCCTCACTCTGAGCTGTACAGCACGCCCCCCCCCCTCCAGCCCTAAAGCTGATTTCTATAA